AGAGAGGGGGGGGGAGGGAGAGAGAGATAGAGAGAGAGAGAGGAAGAGAGAGAGAGAGAGAGAGACAGAGAGAGAGAGAGAACAGAAGACTTTTGATTCGCGTGTGGGGATTTTTTAAAAATAGAATACATTTAATCTCAGTCTTTCTGCTGGGACGTTGTATCCCGCTCAGACCAGGTTGACCCTGACAGAAGCAAGGTCGGAGCCCACCTCCTAAATGGCCCAAATTGGGTCAATGGGGGCGTAACGCACCTACGGAAAAAAGAGAGGACTGGGGACGGGCAGTGCCGACTTACGGTGCTGAGACAAAACAAACAGTTCGAAAACATAACTTAACCAAAGAACTACACACATGGAAGTTGCAATTGGATCATAGTCTAGATTATACAGTACTTTTAAATTAAGCACAACACCCCCCCCCCCCCCAAACCAGGGCAGTGCTACAGACGGAAATTGTCTTTAGGCCATTCCCAAATGAATTCCCAGTAGAATTCTAAATGGACTGATTTATCAATGTCACGCTCATACTGTGCTGGAACAACATAGAAGGAACTGCTGCTTTTTCTTTCCTCCCCCTTACTATCGTCATTTTCCTCTACTTCTCTTGTATGTTTGTCACTCCCGTGTGAACTGTTATTTCCGGGGTGCCTTGATAGTCGAAGTAGACTTTGTGCTGTTGAGGCTAGAGAGGTGAGCAGAGTAAGCCAGATTCCCCGTTTGGATTTCTCTGTAGACATCCACCCCTTGGCGCTCATATGACCTTAAGAGCCGTAAAGAAAACCTTACTGAAACTAAAAACCACAACATCCATTTTCATACGTCGAACATGTGTTTCCAGGCGAGGAAGTCCCCGTTGAGGAAGGACTCGCCCAGCGCCAAGGTGGAGTTGTTGATGCACACGTCCACGCCCTCAATGTCCGGGTCTGACTCGATGGACGCGAACAGGCTGCTCACGTTGTCGCACGAGCCGGAGTCACACGTCATGGGCACCAGGGACCCGCTGTAGCCGGTTACACGGAACTCCGCCACTTTCACCTGCAGGGGTTGCAAAAAAAAAGGTAAAAAAGAAAAAGAAAGAAAGAAAGAAAAAGAGAGAAAAAAAGAAAGAAAGAAAGAAAAAGAGAGAAAAAAAGAAAGAAAGAAAAGAAGTTTGTTTAAGTAACAGTTTTACGGAACTTGCAACACAATTAGATCTAGGTCAGTCTTTGTCAGCACGTTGGTGTTTTAGTAAGAGTTCTACGGCACTTGCAACACAATTAAGTCAGTATTAATTGTCAGTACGTTAATGTTTTAGAACGAGTTTTACGGGACATAATACCAACACAGTTAGGTCAGTATTTGTCAGTATAATGTTGTCAAATATAGATAGTAAAGCGCATATAGTTTGTTGCTGAGCGGGAATTTGCCTTGTATACAAATGTTATTTATTATTTATGTAATACGCCTGTGAAATATCAGCTTGCGTTGTTGTATGCTTGACAGGAAGTTGAGATTGTTTCAGAATGCTATCAGATCTGTTGGGGTAATATTATAGATCGTAAAGCGTATATAGAACTTGCTGTTTAGCGGGAATTTGGGCTAAGCAAATGCTGTATCTATTATTATTATTATTATTATTATTATTAAAT